GGGGGTACAGCTGCCAATCTATCTTTTGTAGTCCAGTTGTGGCTTCAAATCAGTTTGCCTTGGCCAGTTCACTACCTTGGTGCTTGGAAATCAGCTCTTTTGTGAGCTGAAGGCCCCTCCCACCCTTTGTCCTGCCCTAGTTTCCCATCCTACCGGCCCCTGGTAGATGAAATAAGACAGCATTTGTGTCTGGTTAAGAAAGAGGGTACAGGTGCACATGTGTCAAAACCAAGTTGTATGATCAGTGACATTCTGTGTGTGGAACAGATCTGAGTAGGATTTATAGTACTCTCAATCTAGGAGGAAGCCCATTCTCCTGGCTTACAGCAGAGAGGGCCAGATTTCTTAAACAATACCAGCGAAGCACTGAAATGCTTCTTTATAAGGAATGCCTGAAGAGGTGAATGGATAAAGAAGACATAGACTTCATTTGAGATGCAATCAATGAAGGTGGTAGACGAGGGGATGGCCTTTTAGTGGAAGACCTGATGACAGGCTAAGAGAAGCAGGGTTTCGTGGGGTCACTGACAGCCTGTGATCCGTCTGCAGGGTGTGTGGGCTGAGTCACGGCTGGTGAATCTTGTCCTGCTGTGTCCATGAGAAAGCAACACCCCTTTGCATTTATAGAAGGCATAAGCTCGGCATTCACCCAGGTGAGACAGCATCATGACCAGGTACAGCGCTCCCCTCCCCTGCTGCTGCCCTTGAAAAACAGCATCACATTAGAAGTAGACAACAAAATGCTACATATAAAAGACAAGCCCTAAGTGTGAGCCTTGGTGGACATTTAAAATAGTGAAATTCTGCTAAACTCCAAGACATAGGTAATGTTAATGCCCAGGAGTCCCTCTTACCATGCATTTGCTTACGTAATAACCATAATAAACCATGAGCAAGCGTGAACCATGACAGTTTAATTTGCCTTCATAAAATGTAGTGTGAACGCAGAAAAAGTTTGTTTGCTGTTTATCCGCTCCCCCACCCCCATCCATCCACTCAACCCCACCCCAACCCCATTTCCATGGCTCTCTACAAGCAATAGTTCTGGAATGTTCTCTCTTGGAGGAAGATGCTTGGAACCTGTACCTGACAAGGAGTTTTACCTCACAGGGAGGCAGTTTTGAAAGTGGGAACTTGAAATTCTTCTTTGTTACTGGCTCTCTCCCCACCCAGTTTATGCTCAAAGTCCTGCTGGTTTCAGATCAAAACCTGGTCATCACTAATGAAGAAGTAGGCTTACTTTAAAAAGCCACAGAACACTTAGCCAAGTCATTAGGATTTTTTTATAAGCTCTTTGCATCCTGAGGCTTCTGTGAAAACAGGAGTGTTGGGACAAACTTTCAGAGAAGTTGTTGCCACAGACTCTCTTCTGTGGGCCCGGAGTGGGGTGATTCTGAAGAACTGCTAATAGAGAGAACCGTTTTCCTGCCAAGAAAGCTGGTATCCCAGATTTAGCAGAAGAGGAATTAAAGCGGGGGTGGGGGGGTGGGGGGGTGGGGGTGGGCGGGACTAAAGTGTTGAATCCTGAAAGGAGAGACAGGGTCAGTTTGACTGCCAACCAGATTTGTGGGAGAATGTCAGACAGGAGGAATGAACAGACCTGAATCTAAGGGCCAAGGGACCAGGAGCTGTGGAGTTTTGTGTGGTGCTGAATGCCAAGTGTAGGGAATTACATGGGAGAGGTCGGTAGACCCGGAGCATGACAGTACAGGGGGAAAGGCTGGGAACACCAGATAACACCAGAAAAAGAACTGTTGATAGACATGGGTTAGAGAAGGGTGAGTGAAATGGCATCACATGTTGGTGAGGAAGTGGAGTGGCCTTTAAAAATAGCTGGCAGCCTCTGTTAGAAAGGACATCTGTGTGCACTGTGGCCAGGCAGTTCCTTCCCAGGACTATACACAGCTATGCCCAGTACCAAGATGCTCATAAGAACCACAGTGGGAATAAGCCAAGTGTCCCCCAACAATGTAGTTGGTAAATAATGACACTTTTACAGTAAGAGAATCAGGGCTTGTGACTCCACCCAGTGGTGTGAGTGGACCTCACAATGTTGAAGGAAGACAGCCAGCCACAGAGGTGTGGGGACTATAGGATTCCATTTACACCAAGTTCAAAGTCAGGCTTTAACTCACTGGAGTCAAGGTTCAGATTCTACTGGAAGGGTGCATGGGTGCTATCGATGTTTATTTCTTCATTCAAATGTTGCTTCCCTGGGCAAGTTGGCTCATGAATATTCATTAGGATGTATACATCTGATGTGTGCACTTCAGTTTAAGTCTATCCACGCTTTATAAAAAATAGAATGACAACATGGGGTGCTGCAAAGGCATCTGGGAGTCTATTTTGAGGTGATGATTTGAGACACCTGGACAGGCAGGTGTAAACCCAGAATGTGATTAACGATGCATGACTTTGGTCTGGGTAAGACTCAGGGTTGCATACACTGAGCTTGGGGACCATTTGCAGAGAATGACAGGGAAGAGGGGAGCAGGGAATGTCTCTTGAGAGCAGTAGGGGAGCAGATGGAGACAGGGAAAAGAACGAGAAAACGAGCCAGTCATTAGAGACTTTTCAGCACTCCTTGACACAGTGACTTGAGTGCTGGCCACACAGCTTATTTCTTGATGGGATGGGGCGGGGTAGTTGCTCCTTCATCTCTTCAGTCAACAATGCCCTGCCTCCCCCCCAACCTATTCTTTGTGAAGATGCTAGGATTAAATCTTGGGCCTCACACATACTAGGCAAGATAACCTCTTTTTTAAAAAGTGGAGGAAACAAGCTGGCCATGATGATACATGCCTATAATCTCAGCATTTAGGAGGTAAGACAGGAGGACCGGTGGCTCAAGGTCACTATCACCTACATAGTGTGTTTTGGGCTGTTGAGATCGTCTCTCAACAAACCAAGTGGGACGAAACAAAGGAAAACTAAGGAAACTGACACGGGCACCGTACAGGACTAGTGAGGAGCGGAGTGCAGCCACCCCGGGAGCCTTCTGCCTCCAGTGTCTCTGATGTCCAGCTCTGAACAGCAGAGGTCAGCAAGGCTCCTGTCTGACTTGGTCAGCCCCACCAAAGGGCCCTAAAGGTCAGCCATGGGCAGTGCGCTGCCTGGCACACCTCCCTGAAGTACAGAGCCTCTTGAGATTAGCTCATTTTTCACATCATAAGGTTAAATAGAAACACAGTTGCGAGTACAGTCGTGGGGACATCTGACTGGTGATGGTCTGTTTCTCAGCCTGGGTGGTGGTTTCACAGGTATGTTCACTTATGGGGAATTTATTGCCAAAGAGCTCCCCTTATAATTGGTTCCCTATTCTGGATACATATTATACTTTAGTAAAATGTAAAAACCACAAAAAAGCAGAAACCTTTGTTATAGGCTGTCTGATTCCGGCGCACACCCTGCTTCTTGTCTGCTGCCCAGCCTCGCAGTAGGCTTGTGAGACTGTGCCTGAGGCATTGGCCAGGTTCCTAAAATGGCCTTTGGAGAGGTCACCTGAAAGGCCACCTCTGAGGAGCAAGGAAATCCCGCCAACCTCTCAAAAGCCAAATTAGAAAAAAATAAAGATGAAATGTACACAAGTAGTACAGATATGTTGAAAAAAACGTGTTCAACTTTGCCTTGAGAATCCGAAAAGTCCTCATAAAAGATGCTCGCTCCCCATGAGCTGGGCGTTGACTGTGGATGGGGAAGCATTTCCAGTGGGAAGTGAGGGAAAGGGGAGAAAGTAGAAGAATAATAAAGGTGTGTTGCAGCTGAGGTCCAGGAGTATTCTAATGAGGGAGACCTCTCTCTCTCTCCTCTCTCTCTCTCTCTCTCTCTCTCTCTCTCTCTCTCTCTCTCTGTGTGTGTGTGTGTGTGTGTGAGAGAGAGAGAGAGAGAAAGAGAGAGAGAGAGAGAGAGAGAGAGAGAGAGAGAGCAGGGGTTGACCAGAACAATTCAAGGATGTGGGGTCTATCCATCAGTCATGTGGGCCAGCATCACTGCCGTTTCCACCATTTGCAATTCTGCCCCAACACTGCCACCAACACCACCCAACACTAACGTGTTCACTCCCTTCAGGGCTACCACTGCCAGACGACCTATCATAATTGTCCTCATAGATGATTAATAACACACATGGTAAAAACTGCTCTTTCGATTCCAGGATTCTGTTTTCTTAGCAATCACTGCCTTGTGTTAGGAGACTGTAAAAATATCCTAGAGTTCTGTGAATTCCTTTTGGGAAGAGATGTAAGGGCTTGCAGGCAGCGGGTAGATTCCTCAGCCCCACAGCTAACAAGTGTGTTTCTTAGCAGCTGTGCACTCCAGTGCATTCCAGTGTCCCTTTGAGAATTACCGCGTCTGTGAGGTGGGCCAGTGAGCATGCTGAGGAGAACCAGGGATGACCTTTAAATGGCTTTTGGAGGTACTTTGGTGCCCTCTAGTGCATGCTGCATGCCTGAGGCCATGACTGCGTGTGGTGTCCTAGGGTGTGTCAACACAGAGAAATGGGCAGTGCAGGGGCAGGTTAGGTGAAATAAAAGGTTCTTAGTCCTAGGTGTCTGTCACCTCTGTCCTACCGATTCATGGGGCGGGGGAGGGGGACACTCCTTCTGAATGGAAGGATTTACAGTTCTCAAACTTTGACCTACATAACAACCATCAGGGAATTGAGGGTACAGTTTAAGGTAGACTCTAGCCCCAGAGTTCATGTTTACTTGGTCCGAAGGGTCCCTGGTATTTGTAGCTTTGACCATATCAGAGTTATTATGACCTGGAAGGGTCTGGCCTGCACTTTCAAAAACCAAAACAATACGTTGAAATTATGACAGTTACAGGGAAATTGATATAGCCGGAGGTGATTATGCTAAATGAATGAAATAAACCGCACTTAGAAAAACACATTTTCTCTCACATGTGGAATGTAGAGGTGTGTGCGTGTGTGTGTGTGTGTGTGTGTGCGTGTGTGTGTGTGTGTGTGTGTGTGTGTGTTTAGGAAGAAGTGTAAAGGGTTGGGGGAGGAGGAAGCAATAGTGTTTATTTGTGGAAACACAAGGGAGAACTTCTGGACCCGGAGAGATGTCTACGTAACTAAAGGCGCTTGCTGCTCTTCTGGAGGACTTGTTTGGCCCAGTCCCCGTTTCTGACAGCTCACAATCCCCTCTAACTCCAGTTCCATGGGATCCAAGTGTCCTCTTCTGGCCACCTGCACTCAAGGGCATACACCGTCACAAGCCATGTATGCACACACATAAGTTAAAGATAAACCCTAAAAAGCTTTTAAAAGGGGTGTGGAGAAGCAGGAGATGGGTTGAAGGGGACAGTAAGGAGTCAGGTAAAAAACGTATCCATAATATAAAAATATAACATGCATATGGAAATGTCACAGCAAAACTTATGCATTTACTGACCAAAAATTTAACAGAAAAGAAAACACCAGAAAAACAGCACTATACCCTGCCCAACATTAGCCTCTAAAAATGACTTTCTAATTCCCAATATAAAACAGGACCCCTACAACAAGCTCTAAAAATAGCCTTTTACCCACTCTCACCTGCTTACAGACAAAGTGTGCAACCCCACAAACCATCAACAGTGTCCTGTGGCCCAATCCTGAAAGATCGAACAGAATTAAGACCAGCAAGTGCATCCTCATGGAGCATGGACTCATGGAATTCTTTATGGCACTCTCTCTATGGCTCTATCTCTCTCTCTGGCTCTCCCTCCCTCCCCCCTCCCTCCCTCCCTTCCTCCCTCTCTTCCTCCCTCCCTTCCTCCCTCCCTCCCTCCCTTTCTCTCTCTTACCACCCTTGGGGGCAGCACAGAGAATCAGAACATGTGAAACCCACTCCTGTCCACACTGATACTGTTCCCATCCAGAGCCTGTGGTTGAAGTCAAGGAGCAAGGCTGAGGCCTAAGGAAGAGAAATCCACTTTTAGGGGCACCTAGCAAATCCAGGAAGGGTGGTGGGTGTGCTGGACCAGCTTAGGATCCAGCTGTGTCCTGTCCCCTGCTCTGTCTTACTCTAGGCCAGACTTGCTGGAAGAATATTTGGGCATTGGCATCTTTCAGGAGGCTTATGAAGAAATGTGGCTCACAGATGAGAGGAGCAGGATTCAATGATGTTTGATTTTTTCAATTTATTTTTTAAAGGTGATCTCACTATGTAGCTCTGGTTGGCAGTGACTCACATGGATCCCCTTGCCTCCACCTCCTAAGTGCTGGGCTCTTGAGGCTCGATCTCACTGGGCTCCACAGTCTCTGTCTCTCCCCTCTCCCCCTTTCTCTTTCTCCATCCCCCTTTCTCTCTCGTTTTTTAACAAGGTCTTACTATGGAGCCCTACTGGGCTGGAACACTCTTTGTACATCAGGCTGGCCTTGAACTCACAGAGATCATCCTGCCTCTGCCTCCCAAGTGCTGGGATCAAAGGCGTATGCCACCACTGTGACTTTTCACCTGGTCTTTCAGAGGGTTCAGGAACCTGGTTTAAATGCCCAGACCCAGAACTTAATACTTTAATAGTCACAGGCCGCCTTTGACGTCAAGGACAGGAACAACTTCTCCATGACAAAAATTATGCTGTCTGCAATGGGTCCTGCCCTGGTCCAAGGCAGAGTGGATTCAGGCACTTCGAGGAGAAGTAGAGACAAGCTCTTATCCCTAACTAAGAATCTATCCCCAATTGACAACTGCTCACAGAGAAAAAGTGACTTTCTTCACGGGACTTTCGCTGCCTATGTAAACCACACTTAGGGGTAGTCCCCATGCTCAGCAGGAGATGGCCAACACATTATGAACTCAATGATCTATATTTTTTCTTTTCTGTTTCATAATGCTTTGTTTGGGCATTTAAAAAAAACCTTACTGGCCTTTTGCTTCTATGTTAAGGTGGGGAGGATCTTGAAGGAGATGAGGGAGAAGAAATGATAATCAGAATGTATTATATGAAAAACTTTTTAGTTAAAAAAACCATGCTGCCTGGGTTCTTCCCTCCCAGTGTTGATTACACCGAGGCTCATCCTCACCTTCCACGAGTTTGTGGCAACCTTGATTGCACTTGGGCCTACTCACACCAGGGCACACCCTCGAGACCCCGATGGGGCCATGCTGGGACCTGAAAGGTGGATGTTGGCATGCTCTCCACAAGAGCTGCCTATATCCTTGTCCCCTGACCCACGCTCATCTCTGCTGGAGCTCAGTGAGCCAGGCAGCTGTCAGGGACTGGAAGCCCCTCACTCTTCCATCATAACAACCCCTTCTTCCTGTTCTGGTCCCGCACGCCCAGAGACCTTTGTTCTTCCTCCTGTATCCTGTGTTCTGCGTTTCTCCATCTCTTTTCTTTCTTATCTCAGGCTGTGCCTCCTGGGACTTCCCGCATACTTGTGTCCATAGGGCGAGCTCCTTTTCCTATGGCAGCTGCTGTCACTGCCTCCACTGCCCTCCCATCTTCTAGCCACACCCCTGGGACAACCCTCCATTCCTACCTGCTCAAGGTGCATCTGTTGTATCTCAGGGGCTGCCATGCTCCCCTGGCTCCCACTGTGCCCCTGCAGTGTGGCCGGAGGGGCTGCTGACCACACGACTCTTGTACTTGTCCTTTAGGGCTGTGGGCACACTCAGCAGGCTTCTGGGGCCAATGCAAAACTTTGCTTCTCTGTTTGGCTTCTTGAGCCGGATGTTTCTGGTTAGTGGTTTCATTTTTCTTTGGTTTCCGTTAGAGTGCAGAGCTAGCCCCCAACTATTACCGAGAAAGAGACTGCATTTTAGAAGTTTCTCACTTCCTCCTTCCTGTTGGTACCCAGTGTTCCTGTTCCTTACCGTGCTTCAAGAGGATGGGGACTGAGGTTCTTAACAGTCTCAGGGAGATTAGGGCCCAGGAAACAGAACCTGCGGTTGCTTTCCAGCCTGGGTGCACACTGGGACCTACTCTGGAAGCATTAGAAACTCAACTGTGCTGATGCCAGGACAAGTCTTGTGCATCAGAACTGGATGATGCTGACCTATCTGACAAACCTATGCAGTGATCTCAAAGACTGGACCTTGATCCAGCACAATTCGTATCATTCAAGGGTTTATGGAAACATTCAGATTCTTGGCTTCATCTGGATCTGCTGAACCCAAATCTTTGGGCAGAGAACCGGGTCTACATTTTTAGGACGCGCCACAGTTAATTCCTACGTGCACAACAGTGTGTAGCCAATGCATCGCAGTGTGCAACAGAAAGGGGAAGGGTTTATTGGAGACAATATCTCATTTGTAAATCTACATGAGAATTCCTCAAAGAGTGGCTCCAGGCCCACAGCATCCATGACCTGAGAATTTAATAGAAAGGTCCCACACTTCTACCAACATATCAAACTGGGGAGGCTGCCTACTCATCTCTGTGAAACATGCAGTTCCAACAATTCCAACACACACTGGCCCTGATATACCACCTACCCGTCTCTCCCGAGACTCTCATGTGACTGAGGGGTCCAAGGTAAGAGGGTTCCGTAAGGGAAGCAGTGCCCTACCACTGCTGTGGGGATCTGTCAGGAAAGGATGCCCGTGGAAGACTGCACAGGGCCTCTTTATAGTTACTGCTCATAAATTGATGACAAGCCTGCTGCTGGTTGTCATGGACTGTTTTGCAGGCTGTTCCCTACACACCACATATAAGTGTTGGAAGGCAGATTTGGGCAGTAGATTCTGGAAGTGAGATTCAATAGGCTGGGTTTCTGGAAAGTCTTGTGTGTGCACATACATGTTTGTTGTATGTAGAACAGGGTTCAAATTCTATCCAGGACAGGTAAATGGATGCTGTCAAAGGCAAGGCAGTGGGGATAGGTGTCAGTCAGTTATCAATAACGACTCATAGCTACTACAAGACACCAATAGGCTTATTCAAAGAATGACAGAGACAAACAACAAAGAGAACAGTGTCTACCCCAAGTCATTCTTTTCCTGAGAGGCTTGAGTTAATCACGTGTCTGAGACTTGGACAAATCAGCTCCATTGTTCCTGCAAGGGCTTTCTCATGAATGAATGGAAGCATGTGTATTTTTTATTTTTATACCTTACTTAGTTTCCTCTCTCATATTACAATATGGATTGTTTGTTCACATGCTTACAAATAGTATTGTTTTGTGCATATACTCATATTTGTAGAGTTTGCCATTTTTCATGGTATGAAGCTTTCACCAAGGCTGCTTCTGAGCACCCAGGATGATGTAGGTGAGTGGCTGCATAGCATCTCTCTGGAGTTGGTGAAGCTGACTCCAGCTCTCTGCTGCTCATGTTTAATTGAAGTGCTAGATTTGACGGTTCACTTTGGGATCCTACAGACATCATATATTTTCACAGGAGTTCTTTCATTCCATCTGTTTCCACCTTGCTTGGAATTCTGGGCCAACTCAGCTTGCTTTACAGGCGAGGCCAGTGAGACACTCAGAGCAGTTGAAGGGTTTTATTAGTGGTCAGTAATCAGAATGGCATACACATGGAGGAGTCCCTACCCTTATTAAAATTAGATTGGAAAACTATGGCAGAAGCACACGAGGCCCCACTGTTTAATGGTTGGAAGCCATCACGTGACAGTTGGGGGCAACTGAGTGAGCTTGGAACATAAACAGCCTTTGGGCGAAATTCCTGAATGCTTGATCCTTAGAGAACCATAACTCCACGGTCATTAAAACCCAGCCCAGGACCTTCTTGGCCTCAAGGTGTGATCACAAACTCAGAGGGAGCTCTGGAGTATGAGTCATTTCCTTTTCCTTTGTGGAGGATTTTTCTGCTCAGAGAAGCACTCTGCTTTCCTGGAAAAGTCATAGAGGGTTGGATGCGGACTGGAAGGGAACTTTACATCCCTGTGCTCTTGGGCTGGTGGTCAAAGATGGCTGGGATCTCTGGCATACAGCAAAACAAAATATAAATGTAGATACTGGCTCTTTTGATTAAAAAAAAAGGATTCCGGTAAAGTGTAGCTCTTCATTTATCCAGTATTTATAAGTTTGCTTCCTCACTCTCGTCTAAATGCTTTCCCCAGTGTATGCATGTATATTTAAATGTGTGTGGGTGTGTGGATGTGGAGGCTAGGGGCTGAAGTTGTGCGTCTTTCCTTATGGTTCTATGCTGAATCTGGAGTTCACCAATTTGGCAAGACTTGCTGGACCTCCAGCTCTAGGAATCAGTCTGTCTCTGCCTCCTTGGAGCTAGGGTTGCAGGTGGGTGCCATCATGCCCAGATTTTTATACTGTGTGCTCGGGAATCGAAGCTCAGGTCCTTGTGTTTGGGAAGCAGGTTCTTTACTGACTGAGCTATCTCCTCAGTCTCTGACCCCTTGCTATCTCAACACATCACGCTGAACTGGAAATGTATGTGTTGAGGTCTCATGGTTGTTAGAAGAGGCTGGGATGTTGGGCCAAGTGACTTCCTATGAAGGATGACTAACTTAAGAGCACAGCAGGAGCCACACTCAGAGTAACGAGTGACTGGCTACTCAAGAAGAGCTGGGTTACCAATTTTGGTGCATAAGGCTAAAGGACTGTATGCTGAAACCTGATGGGAGTTGTAATCTGGACCAGCGATGTGCACTCCTGTTTCTGTGCAACTCTCCACAAGAAAATGAACTTCTGATCATCCTTACCCCCATTTCCTCTTTCCAGACACATGTTTGGTTGTGAAAACCTCCCAGTGCCCTCTATATGAGCATGTAAGGTTAAGTCCCATTGGAAGAAAACCCAGACACTATCTTGCAAATTTCAAGTTTAATTACAGTACGATTTTGAATATTACATGAGCAAAGATGTTTGTTTACACTATGATTTGGATGTTGGAAAAATTGGTTTTTACCTTAATGATGCTTCTGGAAATATTTCTATGGTGCAAAGAAGGTACATTGGCATTTTCAATGAATTCAGAGTTCTAACCCCACATCTGAAGAACATCTCTCATGCCCAAGAATAAACTTCCATGACATTAACACCATCCTCTCTCTCCTCTGGGAGCCCTCCTGTAAGTACCTCAGCTCAGGACAACTCCTTGATGCTCATGCCAAGTTGCCTGGTTTACAGGAGATGGAGAAGAATAAACGTTATGCAAGTAGAAGGACTTTGGCGTCCCTCTTTGTCTTAAAGATACCCTGGCAACAAGGAAACAGGCTGAGACGGGAGAAGGACTGGCCAAGGCAGTAGGACCTCATTAGTGGCAGAGCAGGGTAGGGACCAGGCCCTCTTGCCTTGCATTGCTTGGCACTATGCTTTGCTCAACTAAATAACTGAAAGGGGTGAATAGCAGGTTCCCCCCCAAAGAGAGTTCCCCGAGAGACATCAGTGGGTATTTAGTTTAAACTGACTTGGCTTTGATGAATACTATGCATCTTGGTGGGGGTGGGGGAGTGGGGGGGTGAGGAACGGGGTGGGGGGGAGTGGTAGTAGGAGGGACTGGGGGTGGTAAGTGGATCTTAGCCTGGGGAGCAGACCATGTGCTGCTGGCTGCAGTTATATGACATGCTTAGGAGACATCGTAGGCCTGGTACTTCGTTATTGTTGATGCCCTTCTGTTTTTCTCCTGGGACAGGAAGTAGATGCGGTTGGCCTCTGGGTAGGTGACTTTACTGAGTGGGAGCTTGTAGATGGCAGGATTGTTGGTTGTCAAGAGAAGGAAGGTGAGTGCCGAGAGGCAGAAGGGCCAGGTGCAGGGTGGTAACCCAAACTGGAGGGAGATGAGATAAGAGAAGTTTATGTTACATCAGACGTGAATGCTTGTTTAAACAGCCTTTATCAGTAAGAGGAAGGGCTGGTCAGTGAGGGTAACATACTTAACTGATAGCCAATATACATAAAACCAGGCCGGTAGTTTATTCTGTGACAGGTTAATCACACACCTTCCAAAATACAGCTACTGGAACTCTAATAGGTGTTAATGCGTTTTTATGTACATGACTTGCCTTGTCTTGGGAAACCCGACCAGTGTATGAAACTATGGGCATTCTATGCCTTCTTCAATCAGTCTCCTTTGAAGGGCTGCAGTTGGCATTCATTTTGTAGCTAAAGACCTAGTTGTAGTTGATTTGCTTAGAGATAGGCACCCAATTCAAAATAGGCACATGGCAAGAGCCAATAGAATCTCTCTTTTGAGACTATGACTTGAAAGGCACAGAGACGGTATCAATAGGCCTCTTGACCTGAAAGGACGAGGGAGTCACTCAGTGGAAGATGGGCATTTAGGAACGGTGCGGAGCAGAAACCTTTTGTAGAGAGACATAGGAAATGGGCACATATGGGGAGAAGCAGAGGACTGGCAGGTCTGTCCTTGGGGCCGGAGGTGAAGGTTAGACACCTCTCTTCTCAAGGGTTCTCCTACCTTCACGTTCATTTCTCATCTCAGTGACCTGGCTTTTGTTCCTTGTGATGCCCTGCAACATTTTAATACTTTCCCCCATTCTTCATCGAGGTAGCCGAGTGAATTGTTTACAATGAGCCTACAAATTCAATTGTGAGGCAGATCAAACTACCCTTCTATCTTCTAAGCATTTTATTTTATCCAATAGAAGACTCTGGTGGTGCTATGGGGATAACACTGCTGGTAATGTTGAAGTTCAAAGACCACACTGTGAGCCAGACTTGGAAGTGCCAGATCTAGGCTGTAAGGAATGTATGTCCATGAGCGATGGATTCCACTCAACAAGTCTTCTCAAAGACCCAATAAGATTCAATAAAGTGTTTTGGGAAGTATCCACTCAAACCCCATGGTAGACAAACCTCAGTTTTGATTACCTCGTTACGGTTTTTAATCTTTCTGAGACCTTTTCCCTCAACAGTATACTGCTGCCTACTCAGAGAATTGCTGCTTAGCGCATGCCAAGTACCCAATAAATGGTCCTCAGGGCATGGTCATCATTACCAAACAGATAGCAGCATGGTTGAAAGCCAGGACTTGCATACATATGTCCTGGTTGGAAAGGCAAAGAATAATGACTCATAGGGCCTTTGTGAGGAGGCGTTGAATGGTTTTGTAAATTAGTTCAATGCTCTCATATTGTGCTCCTCAGTGAAGCTGGAAACTTCTGGATAAATTGATAGCCTTTTTAAAAAATTCTTGACAATCACCACCATAACAACTAAACTTAATTTTATTTGGAGAATGTCCATATGGAATGGCATAATCTATAACCCCTCAGCTCCTAGAGGAAGACCATCAAGCACTGTGAACACCTAGATCTGGGAACCAAAGCTCCTGCATCTCTTTTAGTGCCTTGTCAAGGCAGGCTCTTGGCCTATTTATTGACTGATGGGTCAGGTGCACTGTTGGTGCCAGAAGTGATGGCAAAGCCTAGGGTGGGTGAGGCCCTGAGAGATCATAATCCACCTTCTTGTCTCCATCCAGTGTTTCTGAGGCCCCCTCCATCCAATTCTAGGGTTCCCTGCTCACTTCTTCAGGGCCTCATTCCCTCACTATCTGTTTCTTCCATTTACTCCTTCTGTCATAAAACTCTAGGATTAAGATATAGAAATGGAAGAGCCCTGTTCTAGTGTAACACTTGGACTAAGCTGAAAGTGGAATTATGAGCCCTGAAGTTGTTGCAAATGCTGCGTGTCAAGTTTTGTGGTGAGGGCATATGTAGAATGTTATGGGAAGCAGACACAGTCCACTGAGAAAGTCAGTTTGGTGTCAGGAAAGGCTAACTTGGCTGCTTAGGAAACATCTTCCTATGCCAAGTACCACCCACTCTTTCCCTGAAGACGAAGGGTCAATATAGACAGGTATTGTATGGAACATCTACTCCATCTCCAGATGTTGGACCTATGACTTTTCCTCCTTGTGTAACTGGCCTGCAGAACCAAATATATTCTAAAGAGGCACTTACTTATGAGTCCCAATCTACTGGGATATTGAAATAATGGACCTCAAGAAATGGAAATTTCCCCAAGAATTTCATGCTGGAGAAGATGCCAGACCTGGGGAGGGGGGTGGTGTCTTGTCTTTAGGAAAGAGATTTATAACTTGTTAGACCACCTCACAGGAGGAGGCTAAAACCCACACAGTGATGGGTCAATAGTTGGGAGGACCTACACCTGTCCTCGGACTGCTTAGCTGTATATACTCCTTGCCCTCTATTTAAATTCTCATCTCACTTTGGGACAACCAAAAGATGAACTTGAAGTAGTATCACTGGCTCTTTTTCTCCCTCTGCCCATCATGGCCACATTGAACACATTTTCCTGCTTTTTACTATTAATTTGGCTGTTTCAAAATTCCCTTCTCAAGAATGGGTGACTGAACTTGACTTCTTGGGGCATAGACTGTGATCCCAAGTTGAGCAACCCTTGTCCATGCGAAGTTTCCCTTGTACTCTTATCTTAGGTGGAGCTGGATGTGTCAATTTGCTAGGTAAGCCCTGAGCACTTTGTGCTGGGCCTGCTCCAGGCAAGTGGCAGTTCCTACTTTGCACACCACCTTAAACTGGGCCAGAGGCAAAGAAGAGGTTCTGGGACTGTGTGTACCCACAGACTCTTGAGTTTAGGCTTCTCTTTGGATGATGAGATCACAGCTCTGTTCCCTGAGGCCACTGCCAATGTCTCTCTCCACGAACATGCTCGTTGCTATGCAATACTGATTGATGTATGCTGTCCACAACCCAGGTAGACGGATAATTTACATACATACACAAGTTAAATGACAAGGATTTAAAGCTAGTTCCGTAGGAATATAATGGAGTTATATTTTGAAAGATTTATTCTCTGAAGTGCTCCACTGGTCACTGGTGATGGGTTTGGTCCATCTAAACTTGACATATAAGCTTTTGAGACCTAGTTCCTTCCTGTCAGTATTAAGGTGGGTATCAGGATATGAGCCAATGGACAGAGGGATTTGATGGAGTGTTTTGGAAGTGGAGGGGGCACGTGGTTTATAGCCCGCATGACTTACCACGGACAGCATGTTAGCCAGGGCGGCACCAAGGTAGGCTGCAAACAGTGCTAGAAAGAGAACCAACCGTAAGTAGCTCAGTAAAGAGTCAACAGCAGCTCAGCATAGTCTACATATTCCCTCTTCATTCATTCTATGCCTCAAGTGCTATCTCTCACCCACACTGAGCTGCATTTCCATTGCTTTGCAGCTTTAAAAAGTGTTAAATTCCACGAAAATGCCAGCTCAGCTAAGACAGCAGATGAACTTTGTTAAAAAGGGCCAGAATTTAACTGTGACAGTCCTCTTGGGTCCCACCACCACACTTTCCAGCAAAGGAACATTTAATAGTATAAACCATAAATGAAAGTTTTATAATAAAGCAAAAGCAAGTGAGTCTCAGAACTCCCCGCTGGAATTTTCCATCAGGAGTTATTAGCATAACATGAATTTCTAGGGAGAAACCACAGCCTGTAGGTTTGGGGGAGACCAAACAGCTTACTACCTTGTGTTTTAGGCTGGGTGGAGAAGGTCATTAGAAAGTGGGATGCTGGGAAGAACTGAGTACTGGCAGAAGATGGAAGGTAATAAGAAGGGACAACATAATTGGGCTTTACTTTGGGGACCATTCTCCAAGTATGGTGTCCCAATTGTCCCTAAAATATTAATGATATCTAACCTTTATTAGAGTTACTCTATGTCTTGCCAGTGGCAACACCAACCATATCCTTATAGGTAAGCAGTATTACTGTCTTGATTACACACACACACACACACACACACACACACACCACCACCACCACCACCACCACTATCACCACCACCAAAAACAACAAACAATGAACTTGGAGTCCCTGACACCATTTCCTTGACTATAGATAACCAGAATCGAACCTTCCAGGCTCTTCCTACACTGTTCTTGCATCAGTCATTCATCTGAGTTCATCTTGACAACAGTTCTGCTTAGTAAGCATTGTTTATGTCAGGTATCAAGCTATGATGTGACTTCCCAGGACTGTGTCTGACAGTGGCAGAGACCTGACCAGCTGGTCCAGCTCTTAACCACTGTGAACTGCAGTTTTTCAGGATGCTAGACAGAGGAGAGGAGAGGGGCCAACCCCAGTACCACAGACACCCCAGGATATAGGGGTGAAGTAATATCCACAGGGAATCTCTAGGCTTGGCCTGTGAAGAGCAGGGGCCCAGATAGTGGCCTCTGCTGAGCCCAGCCCTACCCAGCTGCCACTATCCCTAGGGGTGACAGCTAAAGGATTAATTCTTATACTCCTTCCGTGGACCCACTGCTATGTTAATTTTAATAAAACTTGATCTATTCGATCAAGAAGACCTCCCCAAAGCCTTGTGTGTGCTCATGTGTGGTCCCAGAACTGTAGACCAGGGAGGAGGATGAACACTCCAGGTAAGCGAAGCATCAGATCAAGCAGCCTGTCGGGAGGCTGGGGAGCAGGTAATCTGTCCTGGGGGACATGTAGGACAGACTGCAGTGGGTGGAGCCTTCTACCTTGCCCGGTTAATCCACCAGTGGCTGTGAAATTGTGGGAAAAGGCTTCACTTCTCTGGGCTTTCACCTGAAGAGGGAGAAGTGGCTACAGGAAAGAGTAGATGCCCTGTAGAGCACGCCTTTACAAACCTGGATGGGCAACCCATTTTGTTCATTCTAGCTTTAGTTTCCCATCTCTGAAATGGAGTCAGGAGCAGTGTCCCCGCACACTGCAGGATGCTAGTGGGGGAGACACTGTATCATGTTTCATCCCTGTGGTTCCTGTGACAATCTGTTGTGGGTCTGGTCTGTCCTGTGCACTATGGGGTATTTGACACTCTTCCAGACAAGATGCTAAGAGTGCTTCCTTCTTTCCTTTGGTGCGACAAGTAAAAATGTCATCAGACACTAATAAATGTCCTTGGCTGAGAACCACTGGGTCACATATAACACAGAGCTACTTAACTTCCTTGGCAAGTTTGGCTGTGGGGACAGTGAGGGAGGCACTTTCGATTTGTCAGTCATCACCGGCATGACTCCAACCTTGGGTACCATCCAAGCTGCTCTACCTCTATCCCTCTGTCCTGTCCCTGCTCTTTGGCATTTTCCCTTGCAAAGCAGAATAACAATACAGACTGGGGAACAGAATGAGATAAAGTGTTGACTTTGGCACTTTAGGTAAGTGCTATACAAATGGCTACCTTTATTTGTTTGATGTGACAATTACAATTTCTTAAGTAGCTACAGTATGCCAATCCTATATTGATATTTTTTGGTGTAGCATAAAATAACTTTTAAGAAGATAGAAAAAAATTTCAGCTTCATCTGGTTTTACGTTTCTCCCATCTTTGCAGTGGTGGTCATAAAATGAAAAAAAGAAATGTATCTTAAACTATCTTAAAGAAACAAATATATGACTATCTACGGTTCAGAAAGTTTCTCTAGCTTCCAGTGCCCTTCTCAGAGCCTCCTGGGGCCTGGAGACTGTGCACAGGGGAGTCCATCCCAGTGGTCCAGCCCATCTAGAGACTGCCTGCATCCTGGTCCCGCCTCTATCCATGGGAGGAGGTACTTGAGTTGTGGTGATTTATAACAGAAGCCCTATGAATCTAAGTTGGAAACGATCTAGAAGAGAGAAGCTCCTCCAACATCTGTTGATCTCCAAGGCTAGAAGACAAGCTTTTCTGTAACAACAAAAATCTGCTGAGGTGCCCCGCCTTCTGGTGCTTTTCCCAGAGCCTCCTGAGACCTGGGGAATATGTACTAGGGAACCTGTCCTGGTGGTCTAGCCCATCCTGAGACTGCCAGCATCTGGTCCTGCCCACCCAGGGGAGGAAGTAAATGTGCATCTGTTTCTGACCCACCTTCTGGTGCTCTGCTTAAGCCTCCTGAGGCCTGGGGACTGCGCACTGGTGAATCCAGTGTCTGCCAATGTCCCGGTACTAATCCTGTATTGAGCCACAGGAAGAGGAGAGACATCAGAGTATTGAATGTCTTGCACCCACCAGAAGGGAACCTTGAACCTGTACCCACCAAGAGAGGAAGAAATTCCACCACTGGACCCACTGGAAGAAGGGATGGGAAGAAGACAATATAAAAACACATTCAACAACAGAAAAGCCAATATGACACCACCAGAGTCTAAGGATTCTACACCAGCAAGACCTGAACATCCCAGCACAGATGAAGCAGAAGAGAATGACCATAAAACAACTTAATGAAAATGATATGAGAAAATCCCTTAAAGAAATAGAAGAAAAAACAAACCAAAAATAAAAGAAATCAACAAATCTCTTAAAGAAAGCCAAGCAAAAACAATCAAACAGATGAAGGAAACAGTTCAAGGCCTGAAAACTGAAATAGAGACAATAAAGAAAACACAAATTGAGGGAATTCTGGAAATAGAAAAGCTAAGTAAACAATCAGGAACTACAGATACAAGCATAACCAATACTATATAAAAGATGGAAGACACAATCTCAGGTGTTGAAGATGTACTAGGAGAAATAGATTCATCAACCAAAAAAATCTTAAGTCCAACAAATCCCTAACACAAAATATCCAGAAAATATAGGACACCATGAAAAGACAAAACCTAAGAATAATAGGTATAGAAGAAGGTGAAGAAACCTACCTCAAAGGTGCAGCAAACATATTCAACAAAATCATAGAAGAAAGCTTTTCCATATTAAAGAAAGACATGCCAATGAAGGTACAATAAACTTACAGAACACCAAATAGAGTAGACTACAGAAAAAGTCCCTTCTCCACACAATAATCAAAACCCCAAATATACAGAATAAAGAAAGAATATTAAGAGCACCAAAGGAAAAAGGTCAGGTAACACATAAAGGCAAACATATCAGAATTACACCTGACTTCTCCATGGAAACTCTGAAAGCCAGAAGGTCCTGGATAGATAATCTATAGACACTAAGAGATGCCAGCCTGGACTACTATACCCAGCAAAGCTTTCAATCACTATAGATAGAGAAAACAAGATTTAAACAATACATATCCGAGCTGGGCGTTGGTGGTGCACGCTTTTTTTTTTAAATTTTATTTTCCAGTTTAAATTTAGATAAGAAACGAGGTTGCTTCACAAGTCAGTTCCAGGTCCCTCTCCCATTCCCTCCCTTCCTCCCGTGCCCTCCCCCCAACCCCCCCCCCCCGTTATCCCCTCATTTCCCCAGGGAGGGTGAGGCCCTCCATGGGGGTGTGCATAGTCTGTCATTTCATATAGGGCAGGGCCTAGAACCTTCCCCAAGAGTTCAGGGTGAGAGTGGGTGGTACACACTTTTAATCCCAGCATTTGGGAGGCAGAGTCTGGCGGATCTCTGTGAGTTCCAGACCAGCCTGGTCTACCGAGCGAGTTCCAGGACAGAGTCCAAAACAATACAGAGAAACCCTGTCTTGAAAAACAAAAACAAAAACAAAAAACAATATATATCCACTAACCCAGCCCTACAGAGAGTTCTGGAAGGAAAACTCCAACCCAAGGAAGTTAACTACACCCACAAAAACATAGGCAAAAGAAACAAAGGGGTGGAAATCCACATACAATACTACAACCACCACCAAATCCAAAACAAACAAGAATGAATAATCAATGGTCATTAATATCCCTCAATATTAATGGTCTTAACTTGCCTATAAAAAGAGAGGCTAACAGAATGGATACAAAGACAGAATCCATTCTTCTGTTGCATACAAGAAACACACCCCAACTTCAAAGACAGATAGTATCTCAGAGTTAAGGGTTGGGAAAAGATTTTCTAGTCAAATGGATCCAAGAAATAAGCGGTGGTAGCAATCCTAATATCTAACAAATTAGACTTTAAACTAAATACAATCAAAAGAGATGAAGGAGGTAATTTCATATTCATCACAGGAGAAAGTCATAAAGGTCTCAATTACAAAGGTATCCACATTTGTAAAAGAAACATTATTAAAACTCAAATCACACATAAAACCTTACACACTTATAGTGGGAGACTTCAACATCCCACTCCCACCACTAGACAGGACTAACATAGAGAAACTTAACAAAGAAATGAAGGAACTAATAGAGGTTATGACCCAATTGGGTTTAACAGACATCTATAGAGCATTTCATCCAAACACAAAAGAATATCCCTTCTTCTCAGCACCACATGGAACTATCTCTAAAATCAACAACATACTTGGCAACAGAACAAACCACAACAGGTACAAAAAAATTGGAATAACCTCCTGTATCTTATAAGACCACCATACTTTAAAGTTAGAATTCAACAACAACAGAAATTGCAGAAAACCTACAAACTGGTGGAAATTGAACAATGCACAATTGCACCATTCCCAGGTCAAGGAAGAAATAAAAAAAGAAATCAAAGATTTCCTAGAATTCAATGAGAATGAAGACACAACATACCCGAACTTATGGGACACTTTGAAATCAGTGCTAACAGGAAAGTGTCCACATGAAGAAACTGGAGAATAGTCACACTAGAGAATTAACAGCACAGCTGAAAGCTCTAGAACACAAAGAAGCAAACTCACTCCAGAGGAGTAGATGCCAGGAAATAATCAAATTGAGGGTTGAAATCAATAAAGTAGAAACAGAGAAAACAATACAAAGAATCAATGAAACAAAGAGTTGGTTCTTCAAGAAAATCAACAAGATAGACAAACCTTTATCCAAACTAACCAAAAGGCAGAGTGAACATGCAAATTAACAAAATCAGAAATGAAAAGGGGGACATAACAACAGACACTGAGGAAATCCAGAGAATCACCAGGTCATACTTTGAAAACCTGTACTCCACAAAATTCAAAAACAATTTTCTGGATAGATATCACTTACCAAAATCATATCAAGAACAGATAAGTAATTTAAATAGACCTATAACCCCTACTGAAATAGAAACAGTCATCAAAAGTCTCCCAACCAAAAAAAAAAAAAAGCCCAGGGCCAGATGGTTTCAGTGCAGAGTACTATGAGAAATTCAAAGAACAGCTTATACCAATTCTCCTCAAAGTATTCCACACAATAGAAGCAGAAGAGCCTTTTCCAAACTCTTTTTATGAGGCTTCAATAACCTTGGTACCCAAGCCACACAAAGACACAATTAAGAAAGAGAACTACAGACAAATATCCCTCATCAACATTGATAAAAAAATACTCAATAAAATACTGGCAAATCGAATCCAAGAACCCATCAGAAAAATCACCCATCATGATCAAGTAGGCTTCATCCCAGGGATGCAGGGATGGTTCAACATAAAAAAATCCAAAAATGTAATCCACCATTTAAAAAAACTGAAAAAGAAAAATCACATGATCATCTCACTAGATGCTGAAAAAGTCTTTGACAAAATCCAACACCTCTTCATGATAAAGGTCTTGGAGAGATCTGGGATAACAGGAACATACCTAAACAAAATAAAAGCAATAAACAACAAACCAACAGCCAACCTTAAACTAAATGAACAGAAACTCAATGCGATTTCTCTAAAATCAGGAACAAGACAAGGCTGTCCACTCTCTCCACATCTCTTCAATATTGTACTTGTAGTTCTAGATAGAGCTACAAGACAACAAAAGGAGATCAAGGGGATACCCACTGAAAAAGAAGAAGTCAAACTTTCACTATTTGCAGATGATATGATAGTTTACATAAGTGACCCAAAAAATTCTACCAGGGAAATTCTACAGCTGATTAACACCTTCAGCAAAGTGGCAGGATACAAGATTAACTAAAAAAAAATCAGTAGCCTTACTATATACAGATAATAAATGGGCTGAGAAAGAAATCAGAGAAACAACACCTTTTACAATATTCACCAACAACATAAAATACCTTGAAGTAACACTAATCAAACAAGTGAAAGAACTGTATAACAAGAACTTTGAGTCTTTAAAGAAAGAAATAAAAGAAGATACCAGAAAATGGAAAGATCTCCCATGTTCTTGGATAGGTAGGATCAACATATTAAAAATGGCAATCTTGCCAAAAGCAGTCTACAGATTCAATGCAATCCCCATCAAAATCCCAGCACAATTCTTCACAGAACTTGAAAGAAAATACTCAACTTTATATGGAAAAACAAAAGACCCAGGATAGCCAAAACCCTGTACAATAAAGGAACTTCTGGAGGTGTCACCATCCCTGACTTCAAGCTGTATTATAGAGTTATAGTCCTGAAATCAGCTTAGTATTGACACAAAAATAGACAGGTAGATCAATGGAATCAAATTGAAAACCCTGATATGGACCCACACACCTATGAACACCTGATTTTTTGACAAAGGAGCTAAAATTATACAATGGAAAAAAGAATCTTCAACAAATGGTGCTGGCATAACTGGATGCTGGCATGTAGAAGACTGCAGATAGATCAGTATCTATCACCATGCACAAAACTTAAGTCCAAATGGATCAAAGACCTCAACATAAATCCAGCCACACTGAACCTCTTAGAAGAGAAAGTAGGAGGTACCCTCGAACAAATAGGTACAGGAGACCGCTTCCTGAACACAACACCAGTAGCACAGACACTGAGATCGACAATTAATAAATGGGACCTCCTGAAACTGAGAAGCTTCTGTAAGGCAAAGCACATCATCTCGCTCCTGTCAGAATGGCTAAAATCAAAAACACCAATGACATTTTATGCTGGAGAAGATGTGGAGAAAGGAGAACACTCCTCCACTGCCGGTGGGGAGTGCAAACTCATACAGCCACTTTGGAAATCAGTATGGAAATCTCCTCAGAAAAATGGGAATCAGTCTGCCACAAGATCCCGCAATTTTACTCTTAGGCATATACCCAAAAGATGTTCAGCTATGTTCATAGCAGTATTATTTGTAATAATCAGAATCTGGAAACAACCTAGATGCCTCTCAAAGAAAAATGGATGGAGATATTGTGGTACATTTATACAATGGAGTATTATCAGCGGGGGGAAAAAACAATGAAATCTTGAAATTTGCAGGCAAATGGATGGAACTGGAAGAAAACATCCTGAGGCAGGTAACCCAATCACAGAAAGACAAGCAGGGTATGTACTCACTCATATATGGATTATTAGACATAGAGCAAAGGACTACCAGCCTACAATCCACACTAGGGAAATGTCCAGAGATCACATGTTTGACCCCAACCAACAATCTAAACAATAGTGGAGAGGTTACCTTAAATGTCCTTCTCCGATAATGAGATTGATGACTACCTTATATGCCATCCTAGAGCCTTCATCCAGTAGCTGATGGAAGCAGAAGTGGACACCCACAGCTAAACATTGAGTTGAACTCTGGAATCCAGTTGCAGAGATGGAGGAGTGATGAGCAAAGGGGTCAAGACCATGCTGGAGAAACCCACAGAAACAGCTGACCTGAACAAGAGGGAGGTCATGGACCCCATACTGATAGCTGGGAAACCAGTATAGGACTGTTTCAGACCCCCTGAATGTGTATGTCAGTTTGGAGACCTGGGTAATCTATGGGGCCTCTGGTATTGGATTAGTATTTATCCCTAGTACATGAATGAACTTTGGGAGCCCACTCCACATAGAGGGATACTTTCTTAGCCTAGACACATGGGGGAGGGTCTAGGTCCTGCTCTAAATGATATGGCAGACTTTGAAGATCCCCCATGGGAGGCCTCACATTCTCTGGGGAGCAGAATGGGGGTGGGATAGGGGATTGGTGGGGGACATGGGAGGAAGGGAGGGAGAGGGAACTGGGATTGCCATATAAAACAAGATTGTTTCTAATTTAAATAATAAAATCAGAACAACCAAAAAAGAAAGCTTCTGCATAACAGAAAAAAAGATTCTGGAACTTTTTTATTGTAAACTTACTTTTTAAAACCTTATTTGGTAACATCCCAGTATGCATGGCTATACTTGGAAATTGAAACTCTGTTTTAAGTATTTTGGTCAAAGGGGTTTTATTTTATTTCCATTCATAGAACATGAAAGTTATTCAAGGTTGAGAATATATAAATCTGGCCAGTTATGGCAGTCATCCTAACTTCCTGTGATGTTGAGCAAACATCCAGGAGGTGTATGGTCATTTGAAGGGTGTATGGTCAATGGCCGATGTTTAGCTCTGGTCACTGTGTATGGTGTGTGTTGCCCAGTTCTACATGTAAAGGGTTAACATCAGGGAGCTCCCTTCCTAGCTCCATCACCAGTCGGGAGAGTCACAATCCCAGGAGACAGCCCCTGAGCAAAAATGGAAAACTATCACCTAAGAATACCTGCCTCCAAGTGGCCAAGCATTACGCCCTACACAGTGAACATAGTTGAAGACACAAACGACAGTGTCAACCAAAAGCTTTTATGAAGCAAACAATTGCCCTATTATCTTTTGGGAGTAGCAGAACTGCCACGAGTGGTTTTCTTTGTAGGGATCCACGCAGGTCTTCTCTGTGGCCAAGAGGGTATACTGTGAGTGGTACCTACCACAGGCAATGGCCAGCAGGTGTGTCTGCCAGGTAATGACGTAGAACATGCCCCCGATGGCGATGCAGGCAAGAGTGCTGTTGAAGCCACACAGGCCAAAGTAGATGGAGTCAAACGGCGTGGCAATGCTGAGTGCTGAGGAAGAAAAGCGTTGGTCTTGAGTGTGGGGTCTCACAGAGCTCACCTGCCTTCCTGACACACACCCCATCTTCAAGCCAGAATCAGCTACCAGAATTAAGGGCAGGTATTCACAAGAAGGAATTTCGGTTTTATTCGCTGAAAACACATGCAAAGGAAATAAATGGACAGGACCACAGGAACGCTAGTGGCTAAGCTGTTATGAGCTGAAGAGTCCTTGGAGTAAGGACTCTTGAGTTCTGATTTAAGCAGTACAGAGAATGTCCTTTATCACACACATTAAAAAAACCCTTGTCTGTGAACAGAGCCCCCCTTTTTCATTATTGGAGGTCACTCTTAAATATTCTTGGAAAAGGTTCTCTCAGACTTTAAATGTATGCTGAGGGTTAAACTTCTGACTTCAGAGTCTTTCTTGAGGATAGCTTTTGCCAACAGGAACATGAGGGTACTATCCCTAAAAATGCGGAAAACAGGTGTAAGGGGAAGAGGAGGCTTCCAGGATTAGCTGGGTGTGATGTTAAAGGCGCATCACAAATTTTCTTTGAAGCCGGCCCCAGGCACTAACATCCCTACAGCTCATTAAAGACGATGGCATGGAAAGTGAGGACACAGACCTGCCAGCATCCCTATGGTGGATCCAATGGCTGCATGCAAGCAGATGAGAGGTGAAGATATGAACAGAGCTACGAGGAAGATGCCTCCAGTCCAGGGGTTGTCACAGCCGTACACTTGGCCGATCCCAACTGGGATGGCTCTCAGAAGCTGTGGAATGACAGGGTCACGTGTTTGTTATGGAAGTAGACAGTCAGCTCAGACCTCCACACCAAAGTCCCACACTAACACTTTTTGGACTATGTTCCTTAGGCTGGCCTTGGAGTTTTGATCCTTCTGTCTCAGCCTTTTGAGTGTACACTAACATTTTACAACAGGATTCATGGAAGACATTACTGTTCAAGTAGGTTAAGGCTGAAGGGAGCAGATGCACTAGGCTCTCAATTTTGAGTTCTTGGAGCATTAAGTAGTTAGGGTGTTGTGTTTCCTTCATTCAGAAACATCAGTGTGTGGCATTTCTTCTCTTTCTAAGAAAAACTGAGGAATTTTCAGAAGGGTATTTATTATTTGTTAGAAATAGAATATATTCCTGACAAAAACTCATATTTTTTTTTAAAAACAAGACAACAAAAGGCTATTAGGAGGACAATGGTCCTTTGTACCTCCAAGGCACACATGTCTGTCTGTGGTCACTGTCCTATCTGGCTGAGCAGTTGGAATTTGGGATCTACTGAATTGGGCTCAGCCTTAGCCTGCCGGAATGAGGGGACAGGCTTGAGAGTACACACACAGGCAAGGTCACATGGCTGTTTCATCCCTCTGGCCCCCACGTGTGCCCTCTGGAAGTTTCCTTGGTGGTCACTCAGTGTTGTTGGGATCTCTAGACCCTCTTACTGACATCCATTTCATTTTTCTTTAAATGCAAAGTACAAGTTTTCATTGGAAGACCTAACACATGAATCCTTGTCATAGTCCAGAAAGTTATTTCTTCAAGAAAGACTGCCCTAAATTGACTTTTTTTAAATGAATCTTTGGGGGGGTGGTCTAAACTATTTATATAGAATTGTTAAAAACATTTCATTTCTAGAAAAGTCTGAAATATTTTTAATTGAGAATAGAATGAACCTTATCTTATGATTTCTAACATCTTTTCATAGCACACTGAGTAGAACAATTTTGCCCCTCGAAGATAGGAACTGGGTAAGCCACATGAGCAGGACAACTCTTGAGAATGAATCACCAACTGAGGCCATGACAATGACCAAGGATAAGGCTGACATAATGCTGTCTTTTCTGAATAACATGCCTCTCAGTGTGTTTGCAGGGCTTAAGTATCAAAAAGACTTCCAAACAAAGGAAAGCAGGAAAGAGCCCAGACCATGTATCAGGAGGTCAGAGCCTGGACTTGGCTCTCCATTAATTCACTTCAGAACCCTGGGTGGGTTTTTTAATTCGGAACTGGTTTCCTCCTCTGTGTTACCATAGGGTGGGGCCAGAAACAAAACATGTAGTTCTGTGAAGACAAGGATAGGATCTCACAGGATACTTGGGTAGAACAGCTCACACTGTGTAATTGTGGACAGCCATCATTCGCTTATGTTTCTGATGGGCAAAACGAGTACATGCAGTTTGACGTTGAATTTGTCCAAGCGCTGTCCTTCTTTCTTTCATGACACCTACCAAAGGGACTTGGACACTTGACCAGGTGATGTTGGGTGTGGCGGTTGCAGGCTGCAGCAGCGTGGTGGGGAAGAAGAGGTTGTAGTGGCCCGTGGCTGCCAGGTACAGGGTCACCGCAATGTTGAAGGGCAGTGTGAAGACTGGGAGGTCCCACTTGCTGAAGATGGTGTTCAAGGCACTGGACAGGATGGGGCTGGTGGAAAAAACATGACAGACCTGTCAGATGCCACTTGTCTTGGCGCTAGACCACATAGCCGCGGAGATCCCTGGTTAAAAACGATGTTAATTAGGATGGGAGATGACTGGGCAGGTAAACTGCTTACTGTGCAAACATTAGGACCTGAGTTTGAATCCCAGCACCCATGTAAAATCCTGGGCATGGAGGCATGTGTCTATAACCCCAGTGCTGGGGACCGAGACAGGCCTAACTGAATCTTGCTGGTCAGCTAACCCCATCACAACAGTGGCCAGGGTCAGTGAGAAACCTTTTCTCAGAAAATGAGCTGGAGGATAATAGAGAGGGCAGCTGAAGTCAACCTCTGGCTTCCACTGTGGACATATAGGCAGACACACCTGAAATCATGAGTGTGCGTACACACACACACACACACACACACACACACACACACACACACACACACACACACACACGGGAACTTTAGAAGCAAACTTACCAAGTCATGGACATAACGATGACAGGGAGCAGCAGCCACCAGTAATAGTTGCCCTTGTCTGAGAACACGGCCATCAGGAGCCCCACAAGCACCCCGTTGTAGCCATGGAGTCCTGCTGCAATGGCTGACCTGGGGACACAGGGATGAGCTGGTGGAGTGGGGGCCCTCCTGTGATTTTAACTGTTTTCAGAGTCATAGCTTTCTAACTTGGGTCCTGACAATCCACCCTCAAACACGCTACCCTTTTGGAAGTAGGGAGCACAGATAACCTATCTACCAATCAAGAAGAATGGCATTTACTTACAACTGTCATTGTTTTGAGGAGTTTGGGCTAGAGGGTAGGAAGGAGACAATGGACCTCCTAGGGAGTGGCCTCCTGGCCTTACACTGGAACACTGGGCCTTGGGGACTTACTTATCCTGGCTCAGGATGAGGGCAGTCAAGGTGGACACAATGGTGCCCAGGCAACCCGAGATGGCCCACCAGGGATTCTGCACAAAGAGGCCAAGGACGATGAGGATGCCGCTGAGAGGGTTGTTCACAAACATCACCTGGGACATGCCTCGGAGCACCCAGTCAAGAAACTGGAACACTGGAGATTTGTCTGAAATGACAGAGGGGAAGCCAGCAGATGCTCAGAGCAGGTCAGGCCTGGCCTACCAGAGCAAGCCAGGCCTGGGCTAACCCTCAGGAGGCAGTGAGAGTGGGGTCTTCAGGGGACCAGCATGCATTTTCATCAGTCATAGAGGAGGCTAAACCAAGACCACAAGGGCGCATTTGAATGCCCAGAGCTGTAGCTAGCCATTGCTAGCCCAATGCAGTCTCTACAAGTCTTTAGGCTGTTTTTCCCATGGCAGGGATCAGGTACCTACCTTGAACTTAGTTCTGCTCCCCATGAGAGTGGCATAAAGTTTCCAGAAAATTCTCTTGCCACAGAGAGGGTATGAAACCCATGAGTCAAACAATGTGGAGATTTCTAGAGAGAAACCCCTGCACTAGTAGACACAGTTCCCCTAGGCCATCCAGTATGTATTTGTCTAGATACTGGGTTCAGAATTCCAGTGTTTGTCTGCAATGTTTAGGTGGTATATTTGGGTCAGTAGAACTCTTCTATCGAGTAACAAGACCTCACATAGCTATCCACCCTTACAGTTAATGGCAGAAGTTTCTCTGAGAGCTTCCCCCCAACCCCCAAGAGGTGTCCAGCTGGTCTACAGAGAAGACCCGCAGCATGCTTCCAGGGGGCGGGTAAGGCATGCTCTTTGGGGGCTGTCAAGGGCTGATGTCACAGGCTGTACCTTTAAGCCCCTCTCCACACTCCTTCATCTCTCCTGTGATGTAGCTCAAGGCTTTGCTGATTCTCTTCCCACCAGCGACCATCGAGCTCTGAATCCAGGAAGTCCTGGCCGTGTTGGCTTCTGCCTTTATCTCCGAGCTCTCCTCCATGGTGTCCAGATCCTGTCCAGGGGCCAGAAATAGGTAAGAATCTTACACAGCTTTTGTGATTTTCACACCAGGTGACGTTTGAAGTCTCCTAGAGGACCAAACTAAGGTTTTCGTTTGAGATTTTGTTCAACTGCTGTTTAAGCGTCTCCCCGTCTCTTTAGGTTGTTTTGTTGGATACCTTGTCTTATTTGATATATTCAGCCTCAATGAAGTAGAATGAGGTGGTCTCTTCACCCTTGTTCTGTGGATGAGGACTCAAGTATGCAAAGCTCTTGTTGCAAGGGCCAAAAGCAAATGGTAGAATTCAGGCTTAGTCATACATGTCTTGATTTTCTTAAAATCCCTGTCTTACATTCTTTCTAAAGGAAATTACTTTCCTATTTTGCAATCTAGTTTTTGACACAAAGGCATGATATTAAATACACTAAGACTCTTTTTTTTTGGTTTTTCAAGACAGGGTTTCTAGCTTTGGAGCCTCTCCTGGAACTCCCTCTGTAGACCAGGCTGGCTTTGAACTCACAGAGATCCACCTGTCTCTGCCTCTTAAGTACTGGGATTAAAGGCATGCATCACCATTGCCTACACAAAGACTCTTAAAAAAGAAAAAATAACCACCCTGGCACAATGTTATTTCCTTAAAATAATGCAAACAAAAAGGTACGACAGCTCATAAAGCAAACAGAAAAATAGGTATTTATCCATGTGACTACATTTCTGAAGACACAACTCAAGAGACATTTGCCTAAATCAGAGAGTCCTTGGTGGGTCACAACTTCCCACCTGCTGTGGGCTGAAGGGTGCTGTCTCTGGCCTGGGGTCACCATACTCACAAACAATTCCACTGTGGGCTTCCGATATGCGTAGGGAAGGGGCTCTTTGGTTTGTCTCTCTTGATGTTCACCTTTTCCAAACACTGGAGTTGGAAAGAAAGGAAGAGCCATTAGGGCAGACACAGTCATTTCTCCAAACTTGGGTTAGACCATTTGGTATCTTCTACAGAGGAAGCAAGACACTACAGACTTTCATGGAAAGAGTTCTTTTCCTTTATCTGTCATGCCCATTTGGGGTTCTCTTTTCAGGTAAAAACACACATTGTTGTGTAAACAGGACAAGAAACACAGGAGGAGCAGAGGCCCCAGTGGGCCCTTGATGCCCTGCTTAGCAGGACCTGTGCATTAGCAGCTCGAGGGACAGTGGCTTTTCTGTGATCTCTGTGTCACACGGAGACTTTTAGGCACACAAAAAGGGACAGTGGTGAATGCATAGAAAAACTAACTCCCAGTGGAATTCTCTACCACAAGTGGGACACCACACCCCCAAGGCTTGGGGACCATCAGGAAGAAAGGACAGGAAGACTGTAAAAGTCAGAGGTTGGGGAGAATCGGAGTGAAACGAGCCTTCTGGACATGGCAGGACCGGAACACTCATAAAATAGCAGCAGTTGTGGTTGCTTGAACAAGACCAGGCTCAACATTCTGACACAGAGGGGTCTGGACCCCTAACCCTAGCTGAGGAGCTATGGACAGTTGAAGGTATCTAGGAGCAAGAGAGTCAGTGTTCTATAAGAGTCTATAAGACCCCCATGTCCCCGGTAAGCCAGCCACATTCCATTAGCTGGCCCCATACTCAGGAATATATGGGCTACACAAATTGTTTTTTATAAAGAAAAAGACAAAAGGGGACATGCAGTTAGGGGATTAGGGCGGAAAGTGAGGAGTTAGGGAGAGGAGTTGCGGGGTAAATATGATCGAAACACATTGTTAAATTCTCAAAGAATAAAAATATTTAAATATTCGTTTATTTTGTGTGCAGATGATTTGCTTGCAAATATATGTGTGTGTCATATATGTGCTTGGTGCCCACAAGGATCTGAAGAGGGCATTGGATCCCCTGAAACTATAGTTACAGATGGTGAGCCACCGTGTGTGTGTGTGTGTGTGTGTGTGTGTGTGTGTGTGTGTGTGTGTGTGTTGGGAATCGACCTGGATCCTCGGCAAGCAGACCTTAATCACTGAGCCACATCTCCAGCCCCAGGAAAAAATACATTTTAAAAGAAAGGACCTGGTATGTTGAAGTCCTTCGACTGTTCCTCATAAAGCCACTCAGGATCTGGGTTTGAACTCAGAGGCAATGATTCCCCTCAGACAGATGATTTAAAACTATTCCCCTCTCCTATTCCCTCTTTTGATTATGGTATTTGTTTTTAATTTGAGATGAGGTCTCACTATGTAGCCTGGATGACCTGGATCTTGCTATGAAAACCAGTTTGGCTTTGAACTCACAGATATCCACCTCCTTCTGCCCCCAAGTGTTGGGATTAAAGGTGAGCGCCACCATGCCTGGCTATCACGATATCTGTTTTTAACCCAATGGTGGTCACACATTTACCCTGTGATCTAACCACTTATAAGTTTCTGTTCCTATGGTAAATGACCTCACGCCACACTTGGGCAAGAAACACTAATTAAACTCAGAAAATAAGGAAAATATATATATTTGAATTTTAATAGCTGGATCAGGACAAATGATATCCGTGCAGTCACTTCAAGGAGGTTTTGAATGTCCCTGTGTCCTTGCAATTCTACAGCGCTCTTGTAATGTGACTCTGAACATCTTCCATGGTTAGGCTGGTTCATTTTTTAAGGAGGCTTCTTTTTCGTCAAGTGCTCTTGGGAAAGATCAGGCAGGCCCTTGGAAGCTTTGGACCTTGTACTCTGGTGCCCTCCCGTGGCTAAGTGTGAGAACGGCAGGCTGGGTTCTGCCTTCCTGTTTGCCGTCTGCGGTTCTCCTTAGTATGTCTAAGCACTAGAAGGGATGCAGCAAAGGCATCGTGTTCCCGCTTGTGAAGAAGCAGGGGCTACAAACACCAGTGCCGTTTGAAACCAAGTAGGGGTGCTAGTATTCAGGCATCTGCACTGGCCTGTCCTTGGGGTTCTGACATGTCCTCAGCTGCAGCCACTAAGAGCACCACCTGTGCACATTCACTATGTTCCCTTTTAAAAGGCCCTGCTCCCCTCCCATCCTTCTCTCTTTCTCTCTCTCCCTCCCTCCCTCCCTCTCTCCCTCCCTCCCTCCCTCTCTCCCTCCCTCCCTCCCTCTCTCTCTCTCTCCCTCTCTCTCTCTCCCTCTCTCTCTCTTTCTCTCTCTCCCTCTCTCTCTCTCTCCCTCTCTCTCTCTCCCTCCCTCCCTCCCTCTCCCTCTCTCTCCCCCTCCCTCCCTCTCTCTCTCTCTCCCCCCTCTCACTCCTCTCTCCCACTGCTCCTGCCCGGTGACCTGTCTCCCCCTCCCCTTTCCCCCCTTTGTGATCCTTTCCCTAATAAAAACCTCTTCCACTTTAACTCTGTCGCATGGCATCTTTCTCTCTCATGTTGCCTTTTTAAAATTACAGCAGGGGGAACGCGTTAATTTTGGAAGATTTGGAGAAAGTGGTAGGAAACCGAGAAAGCGCCCCTGAACTTGGGGCTTGCCTGTGTGGTCCTCCCTCTGAGCCACCCTCTGAGCCTCTGCGTGGGTCTGGAGCAGCCTGCCAGGCTTCAGGGACTCCCAGGGACTTCAGGCCCCTTTGCATAGGGCTGCACTCCCCTAAGCCCCCATGTGCAGGGAGCCCTCTCGAAGATCCTCATGGCTCTCTCTCTCCTGCAGGTTTTCCCATAACCACTCTAGGCCGCTTGCTCTAACTCGGCTGACTGTAGGGATGAATGGAAGAGACTGGACAGAAAGGCAGTCAGGCACTGAGGAGGCTTCTGGGAGGCATGCGACGCGAGAGGCAGGGGCCAGCTGTACGCATTGCAGGGCCCCTGTATAACCAGCTGGTCGTGTGTAACCTCAGCGCTTTGGCCTCCTCTCTGGGGGATGGGGTGGAGTCAGATTGCACTGGGTCCGGTCTGTCTAGGGGCTTCGCTCTCCCTCAGCTGACTGCGACTCTCTGTCTCTCCAGGGTCCTTGCTATTTGCTAGAGCCTAGGTTCAAGTTTCTGGTATCCTCCTCTGCTCAGCTCTGGCCTCCTTCTGGGGTCCCCTTCTGGCTTACGGAGGACCCCTCTCCTCCATTCTCCTCTGTTTTGGCCCTCTCACCGCTGCTGTCACTGTCGTGGTGGGAACTTTTCATCAGCCTCCTGAACAGGTGGATTTCGGGTTCTTTGTTCTGAGAGGGTTCTCGTATATAGTCCACCTGGGTATCCTCCTGCCTTAGCCTCCTGAGTGCTGGGATCAGAGGCAGTAGCACCGTGTGGCGTGACCAGTGTTCATGAATTGGTGTCAAGTTTGAATCTCTTGCAAAGCTCTAAAAGACCAGTTGCTGGCCCAGGCCATGCTCGTGATGGGTTAAACTGGAATCTTTGGGAATGGACGGTCGGTAATTCCAGGGCCGAGCTCAGACCTTTGTCATGCCCATCACCTGTTCTGGATTATTTTTCCATCAGGAAACAGGAAAGCTGTGGCTTTGGTCCACGGACCCGCGTTAAAAGGGCCACAGTGTAGTGGGCACTGCCACTGTGTAGGTGCCACTGCTGCCTGCTTTGAGAGGGAAGCTGGGACCTGAGTGCGAGGGAGAGAATGTACGCAGTACGCACCTTTGCTCCTCCTCCGGATGGATGACCACTCGATGTGAAACACGCTCCTCCGTGTCGGGAGCACAGTCTCGGAGCCCTCCTCTGCCTTCCACTGGCCTGCACAGTGCGACTGCTCTCCACTGATACCTAGACAGGGGCAAGAAGAGCCAAGTCAGTATGCTGCCTGGTCCACATCTGCAAGCGCCAAGCCGCGAAGCCAAGAAGAAGAGCATCGGGAAGCTAGAGAGGCGTGATGCCGGAGGAGTGAGGGATGCAGCTTGATGCTGGAGGAGAAACTGCTTTTGAATTTGTACAAAGCGCTTCGTGGCCCTGTTCCTCCCTTTACAATGTCCACTATCTTTCTCCACAGAAACTGAAGTTATATCTGGGTCAAGAGACCCATTTAAACAAACTAGAGACAGCAAGGTGGACACCAGGCTGACTGGCTAGTCACTGCAGTTCAGCCAATGACTCGGACTTCTCAGTCAAGAGTTCCCAAACTGGATGCATATTAGACTCTTATCTGGCTGCTTGGGCTGAGAACCATTGATAGAGATTCTTGCTACCCAGTGTGCCTCTCGGGGCAGCACTGGCATCAGCCGAGAGCTGGTTAGATTTGTAACTTCATGCTTTACCCCAGACTGGTGGAACAAGAATCTGCATTTCAATAGGATCTCTTACTTGAGTTATCTGTGTATTAAAAACTTGCAAGTCCTCATCTAGGAGGGGCCAAATGTCTGGAACACATTCCTGGTTACAGGAGACCTTATACTGTACCACACGGTCTTCAATCGCCACACTTTGGGAAGAATATTCTTGACTTATGAATAAGACCTCTCAGGATGTAGCTTGGGAACAGATGGGATTGAATCATGTGGGCTGCTTGAGAAAGCGCCGGCTCCTGGGCCCAGCCAAGGTCTGTTCATTGGAAGCTTTGGTTAGTATTGCACAGCACAAGCTTGCTTGGTATAAGAAAGGGGCTTTCCCCTTAGCTTGGATCTGCTCCAACAAATGCCAAACACTGACCTTTGCTATTTTTCATATATATGAAGAGGATGCATCTGTTGAATAAACCAAGGCAACATTTATCTGGGACCAGCAATACGAAAAGGAAAGTTTTTGTTAAGATACTCGTGTGTGTGTGTGTGTGTGTGTGTGTGTGTGTGTGTGTGTGTGTGTGTGTGGCTAAACAGTCAGCCAGGGGAATGGAGGAGAATGTTGATAGAGGTTTTGGGGGTGGCTAGCTGAAGGATGCCTAGTAAGACTGGACTCATCCATCAGGCAGAACCCATAATGATCTGGGTTCTTGTGTTGATAACTTAGACTCTGCACTGGCGCAGAGCCGGGAAAGTGGGTCAGGGCTGCCTATTACTGTGTCTATTAGAGTCGATGGCAGGATCACAACAAGGCAAAAGTAAGAAGGACCCCTCTCACATAGGTGACACTCAAGGACCACCCTGTGGCCCACAGCCCTTAGTGTGTGTGACAGGTGGAAAAGGATGCGATGGCGAAGCCTGAAAAGTGAAAACACTGGGAGCAAAAGTGAGAGCCTGTTTCTCTCAGCCCCTAGGAAGCACCTTCAGGATACCTTGAGCAGATAGCGAGAGCTTCAAGAGCATCGAGAACACATGTGTCCCCTGTTGTAGAAATGAGATCCGTGCAGTAGAAAAGAAGGAATAGGAACACTGGTTGGAATGCAGAAGCCTTTACTCTCTGCTTGGCATTTTGCAAATCATTTGTAACCTCATTGACACTTTCCTTAATTGCAGGATTTAATTCTCCCAGAGAGAACTATTCAGCCCCTGTAGGGCCGACCTTCTCAACCCGACCTGTAAGTGAGGACAGATATCTCACAGTCTAATCTATTGCTTCTTTCCTGTACTATAACAAAATCAGATACCGCTTACGAAACACTCAGGAAGACATTGTAGCTGTTCACACACCAGACACGTCCTCAGGGAGGACACTTCCCGCTGATGGCACTGGACTCCTCTGCTCCAGGAAGGGTGGTCCCTTCTCCCTGGGGAACAGCTGCAATTTTCCACCTGCCTGCACAGACTCTTACCTAGCTGAGCCTGTGTTCTTGGCTGGTGAGATACTCAGTTTCCTCCAGCACCACCACCTTCTATCACACATCTGGTAAGTCAATGGCAGGTGCTCAGAATGTTGTTAAATAAACTAACGAGGGGTGATCATCACATGTGTTTTGATTTCTGAGTGACATAACAAAGAACAAATGGCTAGACCAAATGGAACATTTTTGGTGTGTTGATGTGTATGTATTCATGTGTGTGTGTGTGTGCACATGTACCTGTGTGTAGAGACCAGAGGTTGGCATTGGGGACTTCCCCATTACTTAGGTGTCATGGTGTAGTAACTAAAGACTGAGCCCAGGATCTCTGATCACCATGTTCCTGTTTGTGTAGAGGCGGAGGAGTATTGCCCACCAGCACACCTGCAAACGTTCTGTGGCATGTGACTGGGAAGCTCTGTCCTTGGTAACCCGTGTGTCACTGCCAGCAGGTGAGTAACTCGTGGGTATGCAGACTGGGTTAGGGACTCCTGCTCTTCCCTCCCCCAGGCAGCTTTATTAAACATTCCAAGGCATGCGGGTTCCTCCAAGGGCTACCTAGGACCATTCCATGGGCATGGACCAGATCCTCAAGGATGGCTACCATCTCATGTTTTAGAAAGCAAAACTCCATTGACACTTCTTTTTTCCTGGTGGCTTAGAAGAAACAGTTTTAGCTCTTATTATTGGTTCCAAACTCTTTCTGGGGCAGTAGCAGTGACCTCAGAATTCTCATACCTCTGAAGACACCTCATGTGGAGAAATGTCAACCACTAAAATGATCAGTGGTAGCAAAATTTTGTAGAGGAGCTTGCCTGTGAAATAAACTTTTAGCTTATTGAAATTTCTTTGAGGGAGCCACCCCCCCAAAAAAAAACTCAAACAAAATTTGGTATTTTTTTCAAAGAGGAAAATTCATCTACTGCGTCTTTTTAAAAACCAGCTCACCAACTATTATCACAGAACCTTCATCCAGTAATTGATGGAACCAGACCCAGAGATCCACAACCAAGTACCAGACCAACCTCGGGGAATCCAGTCAAAGAGAGGGAGGAGGGAATACCTGAGTAAGGGAGGTCAAGATCTTGATGGAAAAATCTATAGAGACAGCTGAATCAAGCACATGGAAACTCATGAACTCTAGACCAACAGCTGTGGAGCCTCCATGGGACTGAACTAGGCCCCATGTATGTGGAAGGCAGTTGTGAAGCTTGGACTATCTGAGGGGTCCCTGACAGTAGGACCAGGATCTATCCCTGCTGCATGAGTTAGCTTGTTGGAGCTCATTCCTTTTGATGGGATGCCATGCTCAGCCTTAATGCGGGTGGAGGGGCTTGGCCCTGTCCCAACTTAATGTGCCAGACTTTGTTGGCTCCTCATGGGAGCCCTTACCCATGAGGAGGAACGTATGGGGGATGGGTTGGGGGAGAAGCTGGGGGGACAGGAGAAGGAGTAGGAGGGAGAACTGTGGTTGGAATGTAAAATGAAATTAAAGTAAGTAAGTATGTAAGTAAGAAAGTAAATAAAAAAAAATCAGCCAACCATGGCCCATGCCTATAAAATCAGCTCATGGTGGCCATGTCTGTATATGCCTCCACAAGCTGCCTTCATCAGGTTTGAGCCAGTTTTACTTTCTCCTGGAGGTGGATTTATGCTCACAATGTCCTTCATGAGGAACATCTGATTGTCCACCATTGTGGACCACTTGTTTTTCCCAGCTCCCTGGCTCCCTTATGACACAGACAATACACTACAGGCCCTTTCCTAGATGCAATGCTGGAATGGCTGTTTCTGAGGGACCATACCGTAAACAACTTGAGTTTGTCTATTACTGGCTACCCTTTGGTTACAATCTGGACAGATGTTTCCCTATGCTGAGCATTGTGCTATGACTTTTCATTGACAGAAATTCTAATTTTCTCTCCCCCTTTCCTTCTCTCCCTTCCTCCCCCCCCCGTGTGTGTGTGTGTGTGTGTGTGTGTGTGTGTGTGTGTGTATTGTGTGTGGGGTGGGCAGGAGATGCCTTCTGAGTGCTAAATGAGATGATACTGTTCTTTCCATTTTAAAATGATTTCTCTGTGTAGTGAGTGCGTGCTCCCTGTGTGTGTGCCATGGAGGTCAGAGGAGGGCGCTAGACACCCTGGAGCTGGAGTTATGGGCAGTTGAGAGTCACCTCACATGAGTGCAGGGAACCAAACTCAGGTCCTCTGGGAGAGTAGAAAGCATTCTTAATGTTGACCCATTTTAAAAATTTTTACTATACTGGGTTATACAATGGTATTTTTACACATACAACATTTTGAATATATTCTCTTCCCCATACACTGCTACCCACTGTATTCCTTCTCACCATCACCTTCCATTAACCCTCTTTGATTTTCTAGACAGTTTCTTTTCTGTACATATATGATTTTTGTGGACTTATAAAGTCTAAGAACAAATGAGAGAGAAGGTGTAATATTTGTGTTTCTGAAATGGATGTGATTTTCTTAATATGATTATATGTATTTGCTTCATCATGACTATATATCTAGATCACATTTTCTTTATCCATTCCTCTGTTGATAGATACTTACAACATGCTTATTATGAGCAGCGCAGCAACGAACAACAATGTGTGAACGTCGCTATGGTGGTATAGTGTGGCTCTTTGTTTCCTTTGAGACTGTGTAAACTAAAGTCATTTTTTCAAAGATTATTCTAGATACAATCAAGACCTCAAATGTTAGAATTGGAAAAGAAAAAACTAGAATTCTGAGATTCTTTAGTTGGGTCCTTTCATTTTACAGATTGGGAATTGCAGCTCAGAAATTTGCCTGTGACCAAACTCTTAGCAGACGTAGGTGTAGGCACTGGCTCTGTCTTGTGTTATGTGTTTAAGATTTGTTTCCAAATCCTTGCATCCTACAGGCGTTTTATTTTCACTCTATCAGTTCTACTCTGCTTCTGAATGTGATGGCCTACTAAAGGTGTTCTAATCCATTATGCCCTTAACCGTTTATCCCTTCACATTCCTTAATCGTCCTAACACTGCTGGACAGGGCAGTGGCCTGAAAGACAGATTGGATGAGGTGGT